AGGAAAAAAAATATTATAATATCTCACTTATCTAGATGTGGCGGGGGCAGCTACTGGTATTGGTTAACTGGAATAATGACATGAACTGTAAATAGATTATAATTTTTCAAAGAAGTAAAATAAAATATGATTCAGAGAACATTAAATTCTCACAGTACAAATATAGAGACTGGAAATAAGGATGAGCTTATTTCACTGGTCGCTATTTATCATTTGCCTCATTTTCACAGGATTGAGGTAATTAAACTATCTTGATTATGACAGACTTCCTCATAACCCTGAACAAAGGAAGTCAGTAGATGAGTAGAAGGACTCGTGTGAGTCTAAGACCAAAGATCTGTCGAAAGAAATAAGCTGAAAATGCAATAGTTAGGGTCACAAATCTAGATGCGTATGAAGAAAAGTGGGAAAACACCCCCCCCCCCCCCGCCGAAATACCAGATGACAAATAAGTGTCAAAACTTGAGGGAAAGTGGACAGAAATTAACCTAATAGAAAAAAAAAAGTTCTAAAAAGGCCTAAAATAAAAGCACTTCTTGGTGGACTTTCACACAGGATGGTCATGCTGTATTATGATATTGGAAGAACAGACCTACCCAAAGACAGCACTACTCGGGGTAGATGAATATGAAGTCACTATCAGGAAGAAAAGCCGCTTCACTGTGAATTCTAGAAATGTTCTTAGCACACTACTGAGTTCAGCACATTATGAAAACCAACAGCAGGAAGTAAGATGATGAGGAGATTGGAGGAGAAGTCACGCCACATGGCATGTTCTACAAATCCCATCAGCCAAGCACCTGAACTGCTCATGGGCATCAGATATATGCCTGGAAGAGTTCTGCCAAAATGAGGTTTCCTGAAGAGTAATATTGTCAGCAATATTTTAAAAACAATGTTTCAAAAATTTGACTTCTTTTTTCTGGACAGGGGCATTTCAAACTAGATCACAAGTTGGCAAAAAAAAAAGTTAGATCGATAGCCAATATGTTTTGGTGCACGTGAGTTAGTCTAAACCTTACATATTGTGAAGGTAGGATGGGCTATGATACTTTTCACTAAATGGTTCCTTGTAATCCTACAATTCTAGAAAGTTCCACAGATTTGTAAATTTCAAAGATCAGCTGTCAATGTAATTGTTCACTTTACTCAATATGATTATGGTATGACAGTATAAATAAAGAAAAACTTTTCACAAACATAATTTAGATTTAATTTCATTGATTATCTCATGATTAACTGAAACATCAAATGATTGATTAATTTATTGGCAAGAAGTCAACAAATTTCCAAGCAACACATCATTATCCATTTATTACTGCATTGTTTAAGCCAACTGGAACTGAACATACTCCTTCACTGACAATATTCTTAAGATGTGACCTACAAAATGTAAGGCCAAAATCAAGGAAAATTATTTTTGACTATTACTTTAATTATTGGGGTTTTTCAAAATTACATAAATTGCATTGGTTTTTATCAATCACATTCTTCAACTTAACCTATTTTTCTATTATTGGCTGAGATTATCCAAATGGCTTATGTATATAATACACTGTTGTCATTTGAAAGACTAAATTATTTAAAATAAGATATTTGTAGTTCTAAACAAATCCTTGAAAATACAATAGGATTTTAAAACTCCAGAGAACATTTTTATTTCATATAAAAACTATTATTTAAAGTTGAAAAGCAATTACTAATTTTAATTAAAAGTTAAAATAGTGTTTTATTATATTTTTCAGTCTAAGAAAAATGAAAGGTAAAATTAACTAAAACTAACGTTTTTCAGGTCAGTTTAACTAACAATTTTTAGAATATATGGCTGTATTTTACATATTTGAATTTATTTCCTCAAACTTTCTATGTCTCCTTTTCCAACAAAAATAAAATGACAAAGCTCATGATTAACTCAGAAATTATTGGCTGGTATGTTTAAAATGTTTCATTTGATGAAGTGAGACTTGCTACTCTTCATGGAAAAGAAAACATGACTGTATTTAGGCATTTGGTTAAATGTAAAGTACACTTTTTAAAGTGTGAGTATACCTAATTTTGTCTAAGATTTGGTTTATTATAGTTTTGAACTTTAACAGATGTATAGAAATTAAAAGTTACTGGTATAGACAATGATCTCAGTTATATTTTTAGCCATATCACCGTTTCCTTGTCATCTTCATATAAATGACGGTGGCAGTCTTATTAGGCATTTTAGAGCTTTACAAAAATAACCATATATACAGCTACTTTCTAAACATCAAAATGTATATTATGATCATTATAAAACGAAATACATGTTTAGCAAAAGAAAAACAGCAACCTCAATAATTAAACATTCTGATTAAAAGCAAGTAATTAGTGTCAATTTTTAGCTTCTTTAATTACATAAGGGATGTGCTTTTTAATTTAGAATATGAGAATATTTCACTCCTGATGATAGATGACACAAGTATTAAAAGTTATCACCACATGAATCAGGGGTGCAAAATGGTCAGGAAGAGCATGGTATATAGTTTTAATATTAGATTACCTAATTTGATTAAAATTGACTATTCCTATTAAGTTGGAGCTAAGATGTAATTTTACATGTAATTCTTTGAGTCCAAGGTAGTAGTATAACAAAAAAAAAATATTTACATGATTAATATTGTATGAAAAACTACGAATAATTTCATGCAAACATTTTTCTGCTAATTTTCCATTCAGGTCATAGTTTAACCCAAACCCTTAAGTTTGAGCAGCATAAGCTGGCTAAACTGGCTTAAAAAAAAAAAAAATATATATATATATATATATATATATATATATATATATATATATATATACACACACACACACACACACACACGAACATATGTATATACACACTTAAAATATATTAAAAAACTAACTTATTCTGACATATATGTCTGCACAATATGCAAACAAATATAAATTTACCTGGCAAAATACAAAATTGATTCAAAATAATAAATTTAAAATAATAAGTTCATAATTTCTAGAAACACATATAGGCTAAGAAATTTCATAATCCCTAAAATAAGTTTTCTAAATGAAAATACTAGTTTCTTAAGATGTAGAGAAATACACATTAAAATATATGCAGAATTATTACTTTATTATTAGAGTTGCTGTGATTATTAAAAAAGAAAAACTAAACAGTGGAGTAAGACATTTGCAGATATTTAAAATTCTGGTTGTTCATATAAGTGGAATTTATGAAGAATGAAGATTGGTACTCACTAACACCAAAAAGTGGCAGGCTCATTTTCTACTACATTTGAAATAGATTTGCCAGATAATGTATACTGAAAGCAAATGCTTGTTTTTTTAAAAAATACAAATTTTGATTCCTGTGAATCCTGTGCCCTTTCTCTTTTTGCCTTAAGATGACTGATTACTTGTTTTTATACCATGTATTCTGAAGTGAAAGAATACTGAAATATGCTGGTAAAAATTTGGAAAAGTTCTATTTTCCATAACAAAATTTTAAGTCCAGAATTCAATTTGAGAGACAAGGACTACCCCATAGTCTTCACCTATTAAAATTTGATTTGGGGCTATTTTAATTCACCCTAATATGTATGAATGTGTACATTTCAAATTGCATCTTAGACTTCTCAATACTCATGTATTTGTGCTCTCCTAATACAATATAAATTTTAAAGTTATATAATATAACTTTAAAAAATAAAGCCAAACAAATATCAAAGATTTATAGGATGACCCAATGTTTTGGTTCAGAAGTGCTAAAGTACTACATCATGCTGGAGTAGCAGTACTTCTAAATAATTTTAAAAGCTGAACACAGTCTTGCACGCAGTGCATATGGCTACCACTGCCATCACAATCCATGCATCTGATGAAAGACCCACGGGTTTAATCCTACAGCAACTGTCTATTCTCATTACCAGTCTGAACCAGAGCCTCCTGTATTCAATGTCTGCCTTTCCCCTTGTACATTTGTCAGGACTCAACTCTATCCGGCTTTTCCTTTCCTTTAAGTTTCTAAACACAAAAACAAAAAAAGTTTTTCTTCCCATTTCATATTTCCTCAGTCATAAAAGACACAATACATCTACAATTTGTGTCATCTTTGGCAGCTAGCTCAAGGCTCTATGATATATATATACATACACACACACACACACACACATACTAGAAGATGAAAGAAAATATGTAGGAAGGATTTCTAAAACAAGATGAAAGTCATCTTTTGATTGGTTTTCACTTTTATTAATTATTGTTTATACAGTTTGAATAATCAGTAGTAGTTATCCACAAACTATTTCTATGTAGCAGAGAATGATGGGAAAATTTCATTCCCAAGATTCTGAAAGGAAACATAATACAGAATCTCAAAACCTTTTTATTGTTCATAATGATTGTATAAAATAATCCACTTAGAGAATAGGGTCCCGATATTGAATGAGCCGAGTGTAATTAGCAGTGTCTGAATGTGAGAAGAACCCACTGTTCTAAACCCTTCAGGGATATTGCTGTCCTGACATTCTTCCTTCACAGAGTGCCTCTGGTTCTGATCAAACTTGAATCCACACCAAGATACTATCAAATCATTTTAAATGAAATGACACCTGAACCGCTCTCTAGATACCTTACTACCGCGAAAGGATGATTGGGTGAAAATCCTAACATCAGTAAGAAAAATGAGATAAAGATCAAGAGAGAAGTTTTTCCATCATAATTTAACCCTTCAACACACAGCAATCAAACAAGCAAGACTGCCACATCCTACAGAAACGTGAGGAACATTTGAAAACTGATTTCATCAAACGCAAAAGTTGTGCTTTACTGTTGGTCCACAATGACGCCCGGACACAGGGACCTGTCTTCCAGTTATGTTGATTTTTCCATGCTGCCTGTGTGCAACTCTTACGTTCATTTCTAAACGGAACCCGAATCCCGTTTTTACCAAGAGCAATGGTGGACTGTATTTCCCCCAAGGTAATACTTTTTACCCCCTTTTGTGTGATACTTACTCAAATACGGTGGTTTATAAGGCGCTCGTGTGTTAGACAGCAGTCCATCCAGCTCCTTCCTCTCCAGGGTGCTGTGTAGGGCCTTCTCTTTGCCAAAGGTGGAGAAGGACCGCTCTGCTGCAGGCTGGGCTTCTGGAGTTTCAAACACCTCGGTGTCTGGAACAGAGTCCATGCCGGGAACGTGCAGATTGCTGCGGTAATCGGCAGCCTGGCGTCCATCAGAAGGGACAAAAGAAGGCATCCAGCACCGATCTGAGTGGCCCAGGGCTTTACATTCTTCGGTGCAGTTGGAGAAGAGATCCATACCTGTAAGCAAAAGAAAACGGAAAGAAAAGGAAAAAAAAAGAAGAAGAAAAAGAAGAAAGAAAGAAAAGAACAAGGAGAAAGAAACTACAGGTGTATCCTTCAATAACAGGACCAGTTAGTTATTTAGAGGTAAAGATAACAGGTAGCATCAAAAGTAATGGGTGAGGGTATCTTAGTAAATGCTTAAATTGAAAGGAACCAAAGATCTCCTTGTTATCAGTTTTTTCATCATTTTTAAAAGAGAAGAGATCTGCAAATATAAGGGCAAGACTTGTGGAAAAGATACCTCTGAAAAAGATGTTTTTAAACTACTCGAAAAATTGGGACTAGGGGGATGGACATGTTTGCTCTAAATTATTCAAAGAACCAGGAAATGGTAAGTAGAAAAGGAATGCATATTAAAAAAAAAATCTCTTGTGAAGTTCATAACAGGGGAAAAAAATGCAGGTATAAAGGCTTTACAATCCCTAACCCCTAACATGATGAATCAGCTGCTTTTTTTTAAAAAAAAAAAAAACAAAAATGGAAGAAACATGCTAAGCTCTATCAATGATATTTAGGTTATAGTATTTAGACCAGAAACGGGGAAATTCAACAGAAACATGGCATACACATTGATAAACCAGTAAATATCAAGTAGAAACAAGACTTCATGGGCAGCTAAAAGCACGTTTTCTCAGATTCCTAGGAAATGACTTTCTAAAGGTATTTCTCATTGGCACTCTGGTAATCCATATTACTACAAATCACTTATTATTTGCCGCCTTAGACAAACCCAGAACAAATGGCTGTAATTAGTGAAACCAAGGTAACCAAATGCAGAGTGAACCAGCTGCGGATACTATTGACAATTACCTTATTACTTGTCCTTGGTTGTAAATACTTGTCCCAGTCAACACAAAACTACTTACTAATCCTATAATACCATGATTTCTAAAGACAACTTCAGACTTCATTGTCTTCCTTAGATTGACAAGACTATTAATTAACTGATTATGATCAAGAAAGCTCATCTAGTTTCTTAAACAAGGCATAAGAATTTTTGAGTACTACAGAAAACTATTTGATATTCATTTTGATATATAACACAACAAAGAAAAGCACATGGACAAAAATACTGTTTTAATGTTTTTCTAACCATAATAACATATTTACTAAATATGTTTTAAAACAAGATTAATTTGAAACTACCAAAGTATGATTTATCTCTACAAAAGAAACTCTTCAATAAATGTCAAGTAAGGAAAAACTGGAATTTTTTTAAACTAACAGAATAATATTTACCTAATGAACATACTTGATTATTACTTCTATAAATGCAACAAGTGATTTGAGCCCTTAAGCAAGTATCAGTTTTTAAATGCATAGCAGTATTAAGTTATATATTGATCTATATATGTTTATTAGTATGCATTAAGGTTTTTATGAATAAAAAATTATTTTTCAAAATTCTAAACATTCTAGGTTATCTATAAATACTTTAGAGTTGAGAACAGTTAATTATATAAATTTTAAAGAAATAACACCAAGTCTTTTATCATATATTAATCTCACTATCTAATGACTTCTTTGTTTTAAATTAAACTGTGCATAATGCCTAGTCTGACTTTGATTATAATGTTCCATTGATAATTGTCATGCATAAGTCTGGAAATAAATTACTGATCAGTGTACTGTTGAGGAATAGAAACGTGAGCTGAAGCTGGTATTAAGGAATCTGACTGAGAACAGCATGTAAGACATGTAAATGTTTCACTAGACACTTGAAAGAAGCACAGTTATTTATCCTATTTCTACAAGAAGATATATAGAAAGGAAAAAGAGAAGATGAATGTTTCTGGTACATGAGTTCATAGTACATAGGTAGAGACCCAGAGAGATTTTTATTTTGACATATTGCTGTAAATGCTGCCTCTTTAATTGTGCGATACAGAAAAAGGGCTTTTTTTCCCATACAGAATAAACTACCATAAGAGTAAAATTACTCTGAGCAATTACTTAGTGATTTACAAAATAAATTTAAGATATTAAATTTCAATAGCTGATGGAATTATATTCAAATTTAAGATGAAATTGTTTTATTAGATCTGGTCAAGTTGGACCCTAATGCAAAATTTGCAATTAATACAATTTTTCTTCATGTGATTGGTATATATATCATTTTAAAATTTCCAAATAAGACCACATAAGATCTTTTCACATCTTTTTCTGTACCCATGCTCAAGTACTCTTCTAATTGTGAATACTGCAGTCTCACACAGAAAATTTTAATAAACTATTATGTCCACATGAAGATACTGCTTTATGATGTCACAAAGTACTTCTTGGTGGAAATTATTTTGCGGGCAGTTTACACTCAATTATGCTCATTTTTTCCCCTCTTACAACCCTGGTTTTCTGTCCGTGTTAACTATTACAGATTGGTTAAATTTCCTTAGATGATGTAATAAGGTTCTTATCAATTGAGAATCTGTACAAACAAATAGATCATGGGCATAATAAAAAAGGGAGGAATATATGAAAATATTTTGCTGAAGCACAAGTCATTGACAAAAGGAAGGAACCTGAATATAAGGTTTTTAATAAATTTATGAATTAATCCTTTTAGTGGAATTTCCTTAGTAATAATACATACAGGTTTACATAGCTGGAATGAAAGACAAAGTAGTTCACATTGTGCCTGGTGTTTTACTAGCTTTATTGATAAAACAAATGGATCTATTCTCATAAGGAAATACCAGACACAGAAATGAAAGTAAACATAACATAGTCAATAAAGTTCAAATAAGTAACAGAGAAATTAATTGAAATTGGATGGTTTTTCATTTTTCATTTAGATATATAGTTTGAGAGCCAAATAAATGTATCACATTGCAGGGGTCCTCACTGTAGGGAGCTATTATATGACTAATATTATTCTTCTATCATTTATCATTAGTCTCATTAAATATATTACCACAAATGCCAAATAAGTAGGGATATATTTAAATTTTAGTGGACTGGCATGTCAGATATCTATGACTTGATAAAATACATACTTTTTGCTTTGCTCTTACAATCTTTAATAGCTCAAATTGAAAACTTAAAACTTAATGTTTAACATGATTTATTTTTTCATTCAAATGACCTTACTATTGAGCCTATAGGATTTGTAGAATAGGAAAAGTACAGGTCCAACTCATTTTTGAAACTTTGCTAATATTCAAGAAATGTCTAAACATACACTTTTTTTTTACTTGCAATCCTTATTTCCACTTATTTATTTTTCCAGTTCTCAGAACTAATCTGTTCTGCAAAGCATGACAGCTGACGTGATAGACTGCTTGTTATGCAAAGATATATTTAGATAAATTTTAAAGGACATATTTTTAAATTTGTCCCTTAAGTCAGAGGAAGTGGATAGTTCCATTGAGAACAAATTGTGATTTCAAAAATATTAGAGTTGTATTCAAATGGTGCTGGCTTCTAATGATAACAATAAAAAAGTACATGCATATTTCTTTATCAAATAACATGCCTTCATTAAGTATGGTAAATGAGTTTTAAAGAAACCAACTCTCATTTTTTGAGGAAGTTTCCATTCTTCCCTTAACTACCTAATAATGGGAAACTAAGAAATACTAATAATAATTACAAGCATTTCTATAATTTTAAGCAAAGTATTTTTTGAAACAGATATTTATAAACATAATTAACTCATGAAAAAATAAAGGTATATCAAAATTTTGTCCCCACTTATCTTTCAAAATAGTTTTCTCTACTTTCTCTCAAAATTTTGTCTTTCATGTTTTCCCAATTAAAACTCTCTTCACATTAAAAGTTGTAGTTCAGAGGTTCAACAGAAACCTAAATAAGCTTTTGTAAACAAACAGTGTAAAATCATTTTATTTATAAAGCTAAAAGCTCCTTTGCCAATATCTAAATTCTTGTTGGAGTTAGGAAAGTGATGTTTGTACTTCATGATAATCCAAGAATTCTCCTGCTGATATTGTAGTGATGTGTGTCTTAATATATTAATTTGAAAGTTCTGACAATCCAAGTCACTTTACATTTTAAATTTATAGCCAAATATTGACCCTATATAGTGTATGGATCTCATAATAGCTGCATAAGAACTAAACACACTTAATAGATAAATTTCTTTACAAATGAAGAAAAATTTACAAGAGAAACTTAATAATTTTTAGGCAAAGTATAACAAGTAACTCAATCACTTGTCAGTTCTCCTCTTCAACATGCTTTTTTAAAAGAACAAATTCATAATTAATTCTAATGTTATTTATAGTATAGACATTTAATAATTGGTAGAAAACTTTCTCTAGTTATATTTAAGATGTTTAATATACAACTAAAACTGTTATATGCTAAAATAGAAAAATCATCTTTTAATCTAATGATTTAATAATAAGATTGAAAATTTATATCTTTAAAGTCCACCTTTTTAGTTCTTCAAGCTGTGATTAATCAGTTTTTCCTCTTGTGATGGTTTATGCATGCATTTACCACATCTCCTTGGACTTCTGCCATACCTAACCAATACATCAATAGTGTGCTGAAAAATAAATGGAAAGCACCTTGACAAGGCTATAGAAAGAAAAATGGCACAGAGCAGTGGTCAAGCCGAGGAATTTCACACATGGAGCCAGGTGCAGTGGGAAACTGAAAAGCTTATGTGGTTCTCTGTGCAGCTGCCTCCGTGCTTAAAGCCCTTCTGTGCACAAGACTGGTGACTGCAAATGGCTTAGAAAGGAGAAAAGCAAGAAAGCGAAAAAGAGAAAGAACAGAAAAGAAAACTATTCATAAAAGAGTAAACAGAAGGCATATCCAAATAAATAAATACGAAGTAACACTGACACAGGAAAATAAAAGTAAGTAAATTAAGAAAAAGGAAGTTTGAACAGGTAAAGCGCTAAGCTAAATAGTGTAGATTCTGTAGTATGAGATGAGCTACAAACTGCAAGGAAGAATTCAGAATTTTTATCTTTCTAATATTATTTTTTCTTGATAATTTAATCTTCCCCATTTAAAATGTACTTAAGTGGGATTTGCTTATTGGTAAGATATTTTCATATGATAATTTAATCTTCCCCATTTAAAATGTACTTAAGTGGGATTTGCTTATTGGTATGATATTTTCATTTGCTTAACCTGGAAATAGAAGGGTTATGAATTATATTACCTCATTTTGCAAACTTGGAAGATCATTATTATCTGGCTTTACCAACAAATAAAACAGATTTATTTGAAGCGGGCTTAACTTTTTAAAAATATTCTAGATATTGACAGTGCAATTTACAATATACAACATCAGTATGGACTGAAAAAGTCATTAATTAAATGCATTTAATTTTCTATATTTAGGACTTAAAAAATAAAACACTTAAAATCATCCTTACAATAAAATTAAACATATTAAATTTGATCATAATTGAACACACAAAAGTGCAATTACTTACTGTAAGTGCTTTATTACACCTAAAACAGCTTTTAGTGTGCCCAGTAGGTTATGGTTGCCCTGTAACTACTAATGAAGTACACAAATGGATTGGTAATTCTGTAATTAATACTTTTACATGTTCAAGAGCTTAGGAATCAGAGAAAATTTACCATTTCAATAAAGAAGAAGAAAAACTGGCTTTTTCAAATGTTTTCCAGTAAACACTTTATATTTTAATATTGCTTTAAATGCTTTGACATCTCAAAGAATTTGAAAGAAACATTACCAAAATGGAAATACTGAGTGCCTTTGTAATAAAATAGCTAGTGGGAAGACATCAGTAAGAAGATATTCCCATCTATCTTCCAAATTTAGCCCTTTCTGCAGATGTTTATTGGTTTCTCGTTCTTCGGTTAGGTTATTATGGCTCATTATGTCTAAGGGACTAAACTAATTGAAATGTTCATTGAGATTGGAGTGCTACAGGAAAAACAAAATGGGGTGGGTGGGAAAGGAGAAAAATGCATTTAAAAACATGTAGCAAATATTCCTTTTTTATATCAGACACTTTGTTTTAAAGGGCTGGTAGTTAAGTTGGAAACTCCAAAGAAAGACTAGAAATGGACAATTCTGCATGTATCTTTTTTTTAAAGATAACAATCAATCATATACAATATATAGGGCAAAAATGAAAGGGACTTTGTACTTGCCTATAAACTTCTGGCAAGATCTGGTTTGTTGTCAGGTTCCCAGACACTAAATAGATGCTCTGTTCACTTAGCGTGAAGGCCCGCAAGGGGCAGGGACCTCCGGGGATTCTTGGCAGTTCTCAAGTCTCATTAGGTCTGCATATTAATGACTTGCAGCAATATAAAGAGACCCTTGAGCAGCCTTTTCCCCCTTCATCCTGCCTGGATTTCCCAAGGCTAAGGCAGCCTCAGACACAGCACACATTGGCCAAGTGAGAGGCTTGTAGCAACCACTGCTGCCAGTCCACCATGGGGTGTACACTGCCCTTTGACACACTGCCTCAGCACCGTTTAGAGGTCGCCCAAGTGTGTTAAGGAATGGATGCTCTGGAGGAGTAATGTCACCTTAAAATAAAGATCCCATCACTCCGCGCTAGTATTACTAACCAAAATCAAGATCAAATCTCAAGAGAGCTGAGAGGAATCCAGAGATAGTCCAATGATGAATATTTTCTAGAAATATTATAACAAAAATCAACTAGTCTTTCCTTTCCCTTGTGTGTCAAATAAACACCAAATTAGAAGAAAATAGTTAAAAATTCAACAAGCACCCTGCCTAGGTGAAATCCAATGAAGTAAACAGAAAACCAGAAGTTTATGAAATTTTCATTTTAAAAAGCACACTTCATTTATTTTTGGGTTAGTAATTAGAACTAACAGGTAACTATAAAACTTAAAGGTGGGACTTATGTAGAGGAAATTAAAGCAGAATACAGCGAACAAAAATATGACACTGCAATTCTCATCAGTAACTATCAGGAAGCCCACATACAAAGACACTCAGAGCCAACTCTTAACAGAACACAAAACCTGTGGAAAATACAAGGAAACCTGAAGCTTAACGACTCAAGATTGGAAACCCTACTTTCAACCCACCATGACTCCCAGTCCGCTTTCCTTCCTTCAGTCCATACTTGGTGGAGCCCAAAGTGCATTACTATGGAAGGAAGGAATTTGGATTCTAGACCCCAATCATCCAGTTATCTTCTGTGACCTTGTACAGGTCAATCAATTTCATTCATCTTCTGAGACCTCACCCATAAATAAGTCTAATAATACCTTAATTAACTGAAGACTGAGGACTGGACCAGATGAGAGATCTATGGTTTTCTGTATGCAATATAATTCCACTAAAGAACATTACATATGAAAGATATTCACCAATGATTTCCTAATTTCACCTCTCCAAGGGAATTTCACATTTTTATAAACCTCTTTGAACCTAGAACAACAACATAAGATGACATCATCTTTCTGTTGAGTTGCCAGAATTAAACTGACAGAAAGTTACCTAGGACACCATCTTTTCTTGATTCATTTGGGAGAATAAAAAAAAAATCAAAGTCAGCACTTAGATTGCCCTTTGATCACACTTACCAGCTGACTGGCCGCGGTTGGTGGCATCATGATCACTATCTCCCTGTTCACTGTCTCCATGACCACTGTCCTTAGAGCTTACTATGTCAGCTTCTTGGAATGCAGAACTAGAAGTACAAAAATGCCAGTATTAGAATAAAAAAGGTGAAGAAACACAGAAAACATTCTTCTGCCACCACATGGTCACAGATGTGTGCTGCAGACTCACAGACCTCTTGGTTGGCTTTATTTCTGCATAAAGTTAGTTTTCATAATCTAAGCCTACCTCTTTGAAAATTGATCATGGCCAACTTCAGTACTTAAGATATGTAAAGTTTAGCCATTATTCTATGATTGGGGTAAAATACATATTTACATCTCATTCATAAAACAGATGTAAATATACATCTAAAAGTTATAAAAACTATCACAAGCCATGTAAGCAATTTACACCGACAAAAACATTTTGTGAATTGTATATAAATGAATAAGCCCTTATAATAATGTGTTATATAGGAAACACAATATCACCAGCAGTTTTGCCCTGCCTGAATTTAAAATACTTTATATACTTTATATTTTAATATCGAATAATATACCTACTTTCTACATTTTTCTAGGTAGCAAATTGTCCAAACACCATGCTAGGGGAATAAAGGGTCCATACCTGTTAACTCGGCGAGGTCTGTCAACTAGATAGCTGAGCTCTGCTCGCTGGTGTTTAGTCTAGGAAAAAAAAATAAATAAATCAAGAGCATTTGAATGCTAAGGGTTTAACTTATAGTCTGCATTTTGAGGTTAGGAATAACATCTAGTTTAAATAATTGTGTATACTTTTATGAATTTCCAACCTTTTCTGAGACCCCAGCCTAGTGATTGCTGGGTAAGGGCAGGAAAGATACACAGAGACGTTTGGGTCCAAATTTCTTTCAGTCAGCTGTAAAGGTTTAAAAAACACTGGCCAACTTTAGATGTGTTTTCTTTTTCCTTTTCTTATTCTTTTCTCTTCTTTTTTTGTAAGAGAGAATGCAATTGTCTTCAGAGCTGGGGCTCATGAACTATTATCACTAACAGAGTTAATCTAGTTATACTCTGCAGACTTCAGTGGCCTAAAACGTGTTTAGATGCATACTGGTTGACACAAGAAAAACAGCACGCTCAATAAGCAAAAAGTTTGGATATTTTATGGAATTATTTTGTTGTTTATTTTCAAAATGTGCTTTAGATACAAATGAGCTGTACAAATATATTCATGAAAGTCAATGAGTAATATGAGTAATACCTAAGACTCAAATAAATAAAATAAGGAGCTATCAAGGAGTTCAAAATCCTGCCCACCCCACTCAATGATCTCCCTCTCCAAAGGCCTTCTGTATTCTTCTCTCAGGCTCCACCACCCACACACCTTTTCCGGTCCAAACTTTTACATGAACCAACTCCATTCTCCCCAGTGCCCCCCCCCCATAGAACTTTGCCACTTCTCCATCTTTTAAAAATAAATCGGAATTGACAAGCCAAATTCTTTGATGAAGAAAGCCAACAGTAGTGATTTATCAAAAACAGTGGCAAGAAGGTGATTATTAGCCAAAAAAATATTTAAAACAACAATTGTTGAAGCTTTCCTTTTCTTTACTCTTACAGGGGTTTGTGCCAAAGCAACTTCATTCAAATTCACACTGTGTGGGCGTTCGGCTTCAAGAGCGTCTGTAAATGCTGTCCAGAACAGAACTGAAGGCTTTTTTTTTTTTTTTCCCAACCCAAGTTCAGAGGATAAGGATCTAATAACTTGTTCACTAAAACATGCATTCCAGTTTAGACAACTATGTAAAGTTAAACAATTTATAGCTTACTTGTACACGCGACTGAAAGCAGCATAAACAAAGCAAAATAGAATCAACTTTATTAACGTCTGGGACAGAAGCGAAGAGCAAAAGACCTTTGCCAGGGCTAGCAAGCCCCTCCCCCACATTTTCCTCTCCCTTCGCGCAGTTTCCCTAATAGCCCCAGTTTTCCAAGAAGGGAAGGGGACGACAGAGGGTTAAGATTTTAAAGGAAACTTGGGAGAGACAGTTTCAAGGTGGCAAAGCACCAGGGGGAGGGAATGAAAATAAATGTGGAGGGGTGGAGCGCAGAGAATTAAGTTGGGTTACACACGGAGGGGTGGGAGAAGGTAACCCCACATCCAGGACTCCCACAACGATACAAATAAGCTAATATCCTAAATATAAATACATAGTGCACCAGAGATACAAGGGCCGGGCTAGAGGAGGCTTTCAGATGGAGGAGATGAGAGATGGTGGTCCTTTCGCTTCAGCCTTACCTCGTTGGACAAAATGCTTCCATTGGAGATGATGTCTGGTTGCTGGTCGGTGTAACCGGTGACGATGGCCCCACAAGGATTGTGCTCAGTGTCCGTACTCCGAGAAGGGCTGCAAGGCTTAAGGAACATCAGGTCGGTCTTAGCAGACTCTGGGGTCAGGCAGACCTGGTAGCAGTAATTCTGGTTGTGGTGATGGGAGCCAAAACCCCCGGACTCCTCCACGGGCACCTGGGCGGGGTTACTTGGTACATTGGAGCTCTGCACCAGCATTATGTCCGACTTGCTGAGTTTCTTCTTGCGTGCCCGGGCTTGGCGGCCACAGCAGGTCGAACCCCCGCCACCGCAGCAGCAGCAGCACAGGCAGCAGTCGCTGGCCAGACACGTGTAGATGTTGAGCTTTTTCTCTTTTTGGCAACGTACGGCCAGCACGATCATGGCCAGCAGGAAGATGAAGGACACTGAACCCAGCGCAATGATGAGGATGAGGGTGAGGTCTAGCGAGGTTTCTCCGCTGCCGGAGCGGCTGGGGCGTTGGTGCTCCCCTGACCCGCCGCTTCCGCCCCCGCCCCCGCCCTGGGGCTCCACTGCGCCATCCACGAGTTGAACCACCAGGGTGGCAGTGGAGGACAGGGGCGGCTGCCCGTGGTCTCGCACCTCGATCACCAGCTCGTAAGGCCGCTGGGGGTCGCGCTTGGTTGGAACCCGGCGCGCTGTGCGGAGCTCCCCTGTGCGCCAGTCCATGCGGAAGAGGTTCATTTCATTGCCCCGCACGATGCTATAGGTGAGCCGGGCGTTCTCGCCGTCGTCCGCGTCCACCGCCGCCACGCGAGTGAGCAGGTAACCCGGCTCCGCCGAGCGGGGCAGCACTTCGCGGGCTGGAGTCCCGTTGCGCCCCGGTAGGGGCGCCACGATGGCAGGGGCGTTGTCGTTCTGATCCACTATGAGGATGTTGACGGTGGCGTTGCCCGCCAGCGCCTGGGGGCTGCCGGCGTCCCGGGCTTCCACCTGAAAGCTGAAGTCCTTAAGCTGCTCATAGTCGAAAGATCGCAGAGCATACAAGTAGCCATTCTCAGAGTTGATGGACACGTAGGTGAAGACGCTCATGCCCTGGATCTGGCACTCGAGGATAGAGTAGGCTAGCTGGGCATTGGCCCCCTCATCGCGGTCAGTGGCGCTCACCGCATAGATGTAGGCGCCTGGCACGTTGTTTTCGGTCACATACACGTCGTAGACCGGCTGGCTGAAGCGCGGCGCGTTGTCGTTCACATCCGACACTTGGACCTGGATTGACTTACTGGTGGAGAGCGCCGGCTCGCCCCGGTCCCGGGCCACCACCGTAAGGGTATAGGAGTCTCCAGCCTCTCGGTCCAGGGGGGCCTCGGTCACAATGGTATAGTAATTTTTGAAGGAAGACTTGAGGCGGAAGGGCACGTCCCCCAACAGCTCACACTGCACTTGCCCATTCTCTTCTGAGTCGCGGTCGGTCACGCTGAACAGAGCTACCACTGTGCCTGGCGCCGCGCCCTCGCTCACCGCCTCCTTCACGGTGCTGAAGCTGATCTCCGGCGCGTTGTCGTTAGCATCCAGCACTCGCACAAGCACCTTGCAGTGCGCAGGCACAGCGTTGGGGCCCAGGTCCTTGGCTTGTACGTATACCTGGTACACCGGGCTCTCTTCGTAGTCCAGTTCTCCGCTCACCTCTAGCCGGCCGGTGCGCGGCGAGAGTCCGAAGAGCTCCCGAGCCCGGGGTGAAATGTGGCTGCTGAAGGAGTACACGACTTCACCGTTCTGGCCCTCGTCGGGGTCTGTGGCATTGAGCTGGATCACTAGCGTACCCGGGGGCGAGTTCTCTGGTAGGGACACAGTGTAGACGGGTTGGTCGAAAGCGGGCACATTGTCGTTGGAATCTAGCACTCGGATGGTGAGTAGGGCCGTGCCGGTGCGCTGCTGCTGGGGGGGCAGGCCGGCTCCCCCACCGCCTCCTCCTCCTTCTCCTCCTCCCCCTCCTCCCCCGTCCACCGCGGTCAGCACGTAGCGGTGCACCGCTTGCTGCTCTCGGTCCAGTGGCTTCTCTAGCACCAGCTCAGCGAATCTGTTGCCATCTCCCTGGGTCTGCACGTCCAGGGAGAAGTAGCTGTTGGGGGTGATCTCGTAGTCGCGCAAGGAGTTGGTTCCCACGTCTGGGTCGAATGCGCTCTCCAAGGGGAAGCGGGTGCCTGGCGTGGCGCTTTCAGAGATTTCCACAGTCAGGTCTGGCTCCGGGAAAGAGGGAGGATTGTCATTTATGTCAAGCACCTCAATCTCCACCCGGAACAGTTCCAGAGGGTTCTCCAGGAAGACCTCCAGGTGCAGGACGCAGGAGGGGCTCTGCTTGCAGATTTGCTCGCGGTCGATCTTCTCGTTCACGTACAGCACCCCAGTCTCCAGGTTGAGGTCCAAGTAAGGGGTCCGTGAGTTGGCCACCGTCTGAAACCCGCGAGCTGAAAGTTTTGTAATGTCCAAGCCCAGATCTTCAGCGATATTCCCCACGAAAGTGCCATGTTCCTGCTCCTCTTGTACTGTGTAGTGAAGCTGGGAAAAGACTCCTTCCACCATCCAGAGCAAGGCAAAGAATAATAGCACAATCATCTCCAAAAGGAAAGGAAGCTGCTTCCCAGTAGCTAGTCAGCCACCCAATAACCTCCCCCACCACCACGGAAAAAAAAATCTCAAAAAAAATACAAATAAAAGTGTGTTACTTGGGGGGCACCTATGCCTTTCGGTTTTTAAAAATCTTATTCTTTTTGCTTCATTTTAAAGCTGTCCTCAATCCAGTCTAATTTTTCAATCTTAGCGCAGGAAAGGTGACAGACGTCCCCTTTCCTCATCTGTAATCTTCCTACTGACCAATTAATAAAATAATGATAATACAATAGTCAGCGTCCTTTATTCCGACAGTCTTGGCGCAACGCGGCGCTGGCAAATCCCAAGGAGGAAATTTCGATATTTCAAGACTGTCCTCGGTTTGTCTTCTTGCTGATGGGAGGAGAATGAGGAGGAGGAAAAAGAGGAGGAGGAGGAGGAAGATGAAGAGGAAGAGGAGAAGGAAGAAGAGATGCTGCTGGCACCGCTGAACATCCCTCTTAATATCAACGGCTGGCAAATGCAGGAGGGCTTAAAAACAGCGAGAGAATTTTGTGCCGGAAAAACACAGAACGGCTCTGCAGCATAAAACTTTCATTCTCTTCATTTCTCTGGCTGGATGTTCTTGACATTTTTTTTTTTTCTCTTTCGCTCTATTTGTATTTTTTGGCTTTCATATCTTCTCTCCCTTTGTCCTCTTCTCCACCGTCACTTGCCTCTCTGTAAATATAATGAGCAATTTTCTTTTTGCTGTTTCCTGCACAAGGCTCTTTGCTTCTAACCTGTCTCTTTTTCTTTCAGTTCTTCATTCCTCCAGCTTCAGCCTCAAAGCCTGTGATCTCGGCTGGCAGTTTCTGAGCTCCGAGCGCTCGGCTTCTCTGTTTTTGCGCAGCGCCCTCATTCTGCCAACCAATCGTCGACGAGCACCACCCACTGAGCAAGTGCTTATTGGCCAAACCGGCCGTCAAATAGACACGTCACCGGGCAGCCAGGCCGGGCGGGACACAACCCGCGCCTGGGCTGCCCGGGTTGAGTGTGAGTGTGTGTGTGTGTGAGAGAGAACAGCCCCGCAGGTCCCGAGGCGCTGGCTGGGGACTCTGCCGCGGAAAGTTCCCAGTCCCCAGCCTCAGGTAATGGGAAGGGAATAGAGAGGTTCCCCCGTTTGCATCAGCAAATGCGAAAACATAATAGCAACAGCTGCGGTGTTATCTCCGAGGAGCGGGATTTCCAATGATGCTAACATTCTTTTTCCTTTAAGGTATTTTCCCTGTTACTGATCATGGAAAGAAAACACTGAGAAGGAAAAAGTTGCATGGGGCCAATAATTGGCAGGGGTTGCCCAATTAACGGACTGTAGCAGAGATTGACAGGACGTTTAAAAATGGCTATAATTTAGCATGTGTCAATCTAAGCCTGAGGGTCTGGAGGGATCTTGTGGAAAGGAGCTAAACGGTTGGAATGGGGTACGGAGGTGGGTCCTAAAAAGCGGAGGGATTTTGGAATGACAGCTTCTATAGACGCGCTTCCGCGTTAGACGTGCTTCTTGCCTCCCTAAATATATATATATATATATATATATATATATATATACACACAATTTTTTTTTAACCAAATAGATAATTTATTTGGGACATACATTTGAGCTGAAAGTGCACTGATGAAAGACTGAAGAGTTCCATTTGAGCTACTGCCTAGGAGCCCGCCATCCGAACGCTGGGCTCTGGAGCAAGGTCTCAGAGCACCACCCGGTGCTGCAAGGTTCTTACGATATCCCTGCGCCTGGTCTGGCCAAGTGCCACTCAGCCGCCGGGAGCGCGGGCTATTTTCCGCTCGATTTTTTTTTTCTCTTGACATCGGAGATACCTCCCCTCCCCCACGTTGGACCGGGCACCAATTTTTTGCCCCGCCTAGGTTCAGCTCTCCGGTATAATGGCCGGGCTGCTGCGTAGGCGGGCAGGGCGGTAAGCTGGTGCGGTACACACGCGGGGCCTCGAGTGTGCACCGCTGTGGGTATTTGCAAACACGTTTGCACATTCACGGTGCTCGTATTCCTCCTCCCGACCCTGTGCTCGGTTCTGTGTAAGCCCCGACCCAGCCTCCCCTGAGTTCCGAAGGACTCGCTTGACCAGCTCTGAGTGCCCACTCCTGAGGCTCGGGGCAACGCGGCGCATCCGCACATTCAGTTCTTGTGAAGTTAAAATACAGCGCGAACTCTTCAATGCTGGAGAGTGGATCGAATGCTAATTCTCCAAGGAAAGATATATAAATATATTTTATATTAATTAATGGGCTGCTCACAAGGAATAGGTTGTTTATTCACGAAAGCAGCCCCTGCTCCGTTTCCTTCTCCTGCCACAGGATAGGAAGAGTCCCTAGCGGCTTCTGCTAATGAATGACCCAAGAGTAACACCACCACAATCTACGGGAAATGGTGAGTCGTTTCAGACCCCGGGGTATGTTGCCATTTTCTTCAGGCAGAAATTAAAGAGCGTGAGTGTCCATGGGCGTGCTTGTAGTCCGAGGCATGCTCCTGCGAGTCCCGGGAGTTCCTGTCTATCGCCCCGCTCCCCTCCCCCACCCAGTTGGCTCTTTCAGGGATATGGGTCCTGCTTTTGAACGGATAGAAGGAAAGGATGCCAGCAAAAATGGCTAATCCTTTTCCAGCTGCAGTAAATTGAGGACTGGCCACAGCCAAGAGAAAACCGCTGCAGTTAAAATGATTTTAGCATCACGTCTGCGGCCGAGAAGGAAGCGGCACTGTATAAAAGGACCTGTGGATCAATGAAAAGGAGATTATAGTGTATCTGAATATTAATACGGTATTCCATCTCTACTTCTCACCCCTTCCCCCTTTTCTTTTTATTCAGATCTGCAGGGTTGAAATGAAATGTTTTGAGCTCTTCAAGCTGACTCATCAGAATCCAGGAGCCTAGTGAAAATGATGGTAATTTTCTAATGTGTTCATTTGTACGTATGGAAACACTTGTGTGTGTGCGCGGGTGTAAGCGCGTGTTTACGTGTGAGAAACATGCAGCTGAATGACAATGCAGATCCAGAATTTGGGGGATAGATTTTCTGCTTCCAAAATATATATGAAGTTTAAAGAGACTTAGGCATTTGCTGGAAGCAAGAGAGGTTCCAGAGGTGGAGATGAGAACGTGGGGAGATGGCCAGATTTCCCTGTAAATAATCACTACATCCACTGTAACACTTGAGCAGTATTTTTTTTTTTTTTTTTTTTGGTAGCTGATGGTTTGAATGGGAACTCTCTGCAAACGTGGGTTACAAGCGTCTCCTAGCGGCGAAAGCAACGTAGGGCAAGCCAGATAATTCTGCTTTAGAGCCCTGGTTCTGCAGGGCTTGCCTGTTGGGGGCTCTACCGGATTTCTTGGGTCAACAAGGCCGGTGTCCTCGCCAGCGACGCCAGACCCCGGTCCTCTAGAGATCTATCCTCATTGACTCCTAGTCTCCGCGGCGCCGACCCGGGACCAGAGGGGTGACAATGGGGTCTTCTGAGCAGAATAGAACTGCTCCGGCCCTCCGCCCTTTGAGAGGCGACTCCTTCCAAGGGCAATTGCGAGATCATTTTGTTTGGAGCCAACATTTGGACTTTGGTATTAATAACCTTCTCTGCCTCCTTACCCTGGAGCCATTAAAATAACTCCACCCTGTCACCCAAGAAACAAAGCAACACTTTAAAATTGCTTTCTTAAAATGCCTTTTAAACAAACAGGTTTACTTTCTAGCTTGTGATAATTAAGCAGATCCCCCTATAGCTTTTGCTTTTCCACTCTTCCCCCGGAAAACCCAGAATTTAGTGAGGGCATGGTTATATGTGCTGCAATCTCGATGATGAGGTTGATGACCTCTTTGAAGTGAAGAGTGCCATGTATGTCCTGCGTTCTTCGACTCCCCATAACTGGAGTGGGAAGGGAGAAGCAAATTTAGTTTACATAATCCACCCTCCATCCCTCGCTAAGCCCCAGGAGCGCCAGCTGTCTGATCTAGGAGGAACTGCATCCCAGAACAGAAGGGGAGAAGTTTTTATCATTGGAGGAAGATTATAAACATCTGGGTTCATAAGTCTTGGTTTATACGTTGTATCGATAATGCATATTTGTCTTTCCTTTGCGTTCTAAGTGAGGCAGAAATAAAGGGGGCTAAGAATCCTTGAATTGCGTTTTACAAACTATAAAACTAGGTATAGAGATTGCTTCCTCCCCCCCCCCCCCAGTCTTTGCTGGAATGGGTGGGAGAGAAACAAGTTTGTCAACCAGCATTTGGATAAATGAGTGTTTGCATTGACTTAAGTTGATGCGAAAGCAATTTGTTTCTAAATCCTTTTGTTATTTCAATGTGCTAGGAGCTTGGAGAGATATCTTTTTAAAATAAAACAAAACCAAAAAAGAATTAAAAGAAATAATGATTTATCAATAAGGAGAGTTTCAGATGCCAGACTGGACCAGGATTGAGCAAGGTGGTTTCTGTCACTTGTCATTATCAGCAAGCGTAGCCCATAGTTCAAACACAAAGGATCCAGACTACTTGCATGTTTTGTGGTAACCATGAAATAGGTTTATTTGTGGTAGTCTGACCCAACTGAAGAAGCAGAAAGGCAAAGCTTTGGAGCTGGTGTCATGGACACTGTATCAATTTTTGTTTATCTTTAGTAAACAGTGAATAATGACTAGAATTTCTGGGAAAGCTTTATAGCTTATGCTATTATAAGTACTCAAGTATTTCTAGTTACTGTGATATAATGTTTTGAACTCAACAGAGAACAAACCAGTCCTTGTTCTTGGTACTGAGAATACTAGATAGTCCATTAAGCACCATTATCTTGATATTCAGAATAGAATCATGCCTCTTCATTTTGTTTAACCTGGCTGATATTGGTGGAGCTTCACATTTCAGTGTCTTTTCAGTTATCAGACAGGGCCAGTATTTTGTTAAACTCTAAACAGTGAATTAAAAGCACTGAATGAGCTGAAGCAGCCCACTAATGCAAAATGACAAATTGCACTTAAGCAATACATGAACAAGAAAATGATTTATGGATTCTTACAATGGCCCAAGCAAATGAAAGCAACATGAATTATACATCCTAATGCTCAGGATATCATTTTCTAATAATACTGTTTCAGGGCAGATACTATGCTCTCCTCCTTTCTATAAAAGAAATTGATCAATAAGAGAATATTTTTAAAATTAAGCAATGTCTTTTGATACTGATTCTATATATATATATATGCATATATTGTTTCATACTGATTATATATATGTATATATATATATATATATATATATATATATATATATATGTATGTGTGTGTGTATGTATATATATTTCCCTCCCTGTGATTTGGGGGTGGGTGTATAATGAAATTAGAACATACATTATCCTTGCCCAGGGCTTTATATATTGGGTTTTTGGTAGTAAATCGTTTTTGAAAAAACTTCGGCTGCTCCACATCATCTTTCAGAATGCAAATAAATAGATGTGATTTAGTATGACAATCTTTATTGCCTCATGACCTCTTTTTCTGAAAACCATAATGCATTACCTCATTTTACCCTTTTCTTCCCTTGCTTTGGCTATTGAAAAATCATATTTCCCCCAAATGTCTCTTAAACTCTTCATATTTGTTTTAGCCCATCTTTTTTTCAGAATATTATTTTATTTTTTAGTGTATTAGAGACACACTTGGGTTAATAAAAAGGTCAGTGCACCTAAGTGTTTTTTTTTTTTCTTTTATCTTAGTGGACAAAATAGATTCTGTGTGCTGTCATAAGTTACAGGGAAAAAAAAATCAATCAGATAAAAGTTTATGTGATACCAATGTTTTGAGTTGGAAAAATATAAAAATCTAGTTACCTTTGAATTATGAAGAGTGGCTTCTTCTAGCATTTTTATTTAACCATCTGTGGCTTGTAGAGTGAGTATATTTTTTTGAAGGCATGTACAATTTTAAGTGAAGGTATTGGGTAGTGCCTTTTCTGTGTTGCATACTCAACAATGGGATACTGCTAATCACCCAGAGGACTTTAGAGTTATTATTGGGCTTAAATTTAATTATCCAGTTTTTATTAAAAAAAGAAAGAAAAAAACATATTGAATACCAGTTTTTTCTTTTGACAGCATTAATAACCACTCTTACTGAAAGATTACTGAAATCAATGATGTGATTAGGATTGTAAATAAGAACTACAAGACATCACATTTTAAAATCCAGCTGCTTCCCTAGCAGGGAGATGTGTGGATTTACTGATGGGGCCCCTCTGCAGAAATGAAGCTTCAAACCTCTAGGTCAAAATAGAAGAAATTCAAAAATTAATTGCAAGTCCTAATTAAGTTTATATGAGTAAGAGAGAAGTTATCCTTAAAAAGCTCTTACTTTCCTATTTTTTTCCTTCCCCAGTGGTTTTACTTCTTATTGGACAATGATACCAAGTTAGCATAATACTACTCTCTGCTGGCAAGTGTAAATTGTTTTCTTAAGGGATTGCCCTTGATTTTATAAGTACAGAATGAGATTACCCAAATTGTGGTTGAGGTAACCAGTCACACAGCTATATTACAAAGAATTTCAAAATACTATTGGAGATGGGCACTGAGGAAAGAATATTGAACACATGTTGAAAACTGTATTAGTAATTAGAATTACAGTAGTCAGAACAAATAATAAAACAGATACTTCCATTAAAAATTACTTTCAGTTTCATTGCCTGGTTAGTATAACGTTTTGCATAAAAAACTTGATTTCCACAATGTCTTATTTAAATGAGTTTATTCAAAAATTTCGTATTTTTTTTAGGTGAAAGTAACTAATGGCTTATTATGTGCCAAGAATTTTTTTATGTTATAATATTTGCTCTTCCCTATCTCTGTAGGTATTATTACCCCACCATTATAGATAACACCACGAAGAGTGTTCATAATTGAAGGAACTCATTGGATTCCTACAGGTTCACATCCAGGTCCTTTGCTGCTCATATCCTGCCTCCTTTTACTATGCCGTATTTCCACAGTCTAGCCGAGTTGGAAATAAGGCAAAAAGTAGGCTAGTTTAGACATGAGTTTCTTCAAATTTCTGTACTGGTAGGAATGCTGATTTTATCTCAGAGTACAGCATGGAGTTGAGTCATGGAAGAATTTATAAAAACACTTGAGGTGACCTGCATGGTGGCACAAGCCTGTAATCCCAGTGGCTGAGGAGGCCGAAGCAGGATTGCAAGTTTAAGCCCAGTCGCAGCAATTTGGAGAGACCTTGTCTCAAAATAAAAAGTAAAAAGGACTGGTAATGTGGCTCAGTGGTTAAGTGCCCCTGGGTTCAATCCTGGTACCAAAAAACAGAAACAAACAAAAAGCAAAAATGTTTTATGGTGTTTTTTTTTTTTTTTTGTTGTTGTTGTTGTTGTTTGTTTGTTTAAATCATGGAACCAAAGATTGAATATATTTTCCTACAAGAGAATGAGATTATAAACAAGTATCTTTTTCTCATGCAGAAATACTTGACATGGGAATTGCAGAATTTAATGTAGGGACATGAAAATTGATATATCAGACATGTCTAAGCAGAAGTTGCCTCTGCTTCATCCATTCCTGAAAATCACCACATGAATCATTCATTCCAGATGTATTGGCTAGTCTCTCGGTTCATCAGAGGTTAAAAGCAAGGGAGAAACAAGAAGTAGACTCACTTTGAACAATGAAAATAATGTTGTTTATTTTGTATGCATTTCTAAAGTAGTTTTTGAAAGGGGAAATGTGTTTTGTTAGGTGAAATCCAAGTATCACTTTATACTAATTTCTTCGTTAGTGTTGCTTTGAAAAATTGTTTTAAGTAATTAATTAAATTTACTTGAACTTTAAAAATATTAAGTCATTAGATTTATTTGTAAGAAAATAAAAAATTGAAACAAGTTGGAAATAATTTTAAATTT